AAATAATTATGAATTTTTCCAGAGAACTCTCATTTTTAGCAGAAGATTTACAAAGTCTGAAAAAGTAATAATTCTGCGCTGTTTCAGTGAAATATTTCCTGAACGTGTAAACTCAATTATATTCTCCCTACTGTAAAAATTTCACGTTGCTACTTGCTTTCAGTTTGAAGTTGTAAATTTTTTAAGAGAACGCGCATTTGAGCGAGAACGCTCATTTTCGGCATAGTATTTTCCAATTTTGTAAAAATCAGAAACCTGAGGGATTTACCTAAAATTTTGAGAACGTGCACGCTCCATTGTCTTCTCTGGACTGCAAAAATGTTAAGTTGCTACTTGCTTTCGAATCAAAGTTGTAAATTTTCTAAGAAAACGCGCATTTGGGCGAAGACGCTAATTTTTTGTACAAAATTTATGGTCTGTAAATATCAGAAAGTTGGCGATTTAAATGCAATTTTGAGAAAAAGCAGAGTTACCCGTCTTATGTGGACTGCAAAAATGTCAAGTTCCAACTTGCTTCGGTTCGAAGTTGTGAGTTTTTTAAGAAAATGCGCATTTGGGCGAGAAGGCTTATTTTCTGCACAAAATTTATAGCCTCTAAAAATCAGGAAGTTGGAGTATTTAAATGCAACTTTCAGAACGTGCCAACTCAATTGTCTCTCCAGACTCTAAAAATTTCAAGATGCTACTTGCTTTCAATTTGCAGTTGTACATTATTTAAGAGAACGCGCATTTGGGCGAGAACGTTTATTTTCTGCACTAAATTTTCCAAGTGTGTAGAAATCAGAAAGTTTGAAGATTTAAGTGTAATTTTTAAAATGTGCAGACTGAATTGTGTTTTCCCCACTGTAAAAATATCAAGTTGCTCCTTGCTTTCGGTTCGAGTTATGAGTTTTCAAAGTTATGAGTTTTTTAAGAAAATCCGCATTTGGGTGAGAACACTCATTTTCTTGCACAAAATTTGTCAATTTTGTGAAAATCATAAAGTAAGGGGATTTAAATGCAATTCCCAGAACGTGCAGACTAAATCGTCTTCTCTGGACTGCACAAATTTCAAGTTACTACTTGCTTTCGGTTGGAGGTTGTGAATTTTTTAAGAAAACGCGCATTTGGTCGATTTGTAAAAATCAGAAATTTTGGGGATTTAAATTAGATTTTCAAAACGTGCAGACGCAATTGTTTTCTTTGGATTGTAAAAGTTGAAAGCGCATTTGTGCGAGAGCGCTCATTTTTGGGTGTTTATTATTATTATTATCATTCATTTAATATTATTAAGTTGAAGACGTAAAGTAGCTTTAATTAGTAATAAATTAAGGTACATGGTTTGAGGAACCAGGTACTAAGAAACAAAGAAAAATGAAAAGAAAAATTAAAAAACAAACAAGTCCAATAATTGGAAGCGAATTTTAAAGCAACTCTATCTCCATAAGATCAATATTTTTTTCTTGATTTTGTTCCTAAAACTTGGCAATCAAACGTTCAACTAAGGACAGTTTCCTTTTAAATAATTTAATAATTGGCCCTGAATATAACAAATGTTAGAACATTTTTTTCTAATAAAGTACTATAAAGAAGATACACAATAATATACTTAACAAAAAATTAAGAAAGAAACATTTATTGCATTATTGGTTTTTTAACCATTGCATTATTTTTCAAAAAAATCTGTCTAAAGACCCTTAAATTGTTAATTAGGTAAATGCAAGTCAAACGAAGCATCTTGTTGGATGCGCGTATCTAAAAGAGGTGGAAAATATTCAACTCAACGTGGTAGATGACCCCTGATAATATGCTGTCCTTTATGCTTATATGCCATAAAATGTTTAGTGTAATGTTTAAGTAATTATAAATAAATTAGATCCTTTTGGCTACATTAAAACTTGTTGATGGAAATGCCTTTTTCGCTCATTTGTTTTAAGTACATGCATTGAAGCTTTTTGGACTTTATCAAAAAATTGTACAAAATATAGGATGAATTGAAATAAGTTGATCTCACAGAAAATATTCTGAAACTGAAGAGATTTGCGATTTGTAACCGTAAGTATTTGAATATTCTTAAATGCTCCTTTAAACTGATAACTCATTTTACCATTGTTGAGGTTTTTTAATACGTTTTGTAAAGATAAAAATTTGAAAAGAGAATTACATAATATGGAAAGCAAATTTAGAGTGGGAAGATTTAGACATGTGAGATTTTGCCAATTTGAACAAGGGAAACTTAAAAATAAAGTTAATTTGCTTAATTTTGTTAAGCTTAATCAGTTGAAAGCAGCGGCTTTGGAAAATTGTAACTGTTGAATATCAAAATCTTCGAACTAGGAGAGTGAGCAAATTAATTTTTGTGTGTTTAATAGACTCTCGTTAAAAGTTTGATTTGGAAACGACCGACTATTTCATTTGCGATTCAAACTTTGCTTCTAGAAGAGTAATCTAAAAATAATCCAAAAATTTGCTTTCCAGCAACAATTTTTCTGGAACAAAATGATATAAGGAATCTTCCGATTCCCAATACGTGTTCCCTTATTTCAAGCTGTCAATGACAGAATAATAATCAGGATAAAATCCTTCAATAAAGAAACCTAGTCCCAAAGTGATAACTTCCGTCCAGCCGCTATTCCGCCTGGAATAAAAAAATAAAAAATGACCTGTAGACAGCAGACTTGCCAAAAATGAACGGCGAATCTTATGAGGGTTTGCTCTACGACATATAACTTACTTTTTATCATGGCCCGTCCATCTTCCCTTTGATATCTGGTCATTTGGGATTCGGAGCTGAAAAAGAAAAAGGCATTTTTTTACCGGAATCTGATAAAGTGGAACGGGGGGTTTAATTAACATTTCGCTGACAAGTTCAAGGGTAGTTTGTTACTGCTTTATGCATTTCGCCACAAATCCTGGACGAAAACTCCCGATATTCTGTTATTGGCAGGTCTAGTATTAATGCGTTTGGGCGCGCAGGCCAGTTCAAAGGTTGCCTGCCTCGGCTTGGGATAATTATGCCAGACTTCGCACACATTCTAGATTCAACTGCTCGAACTTTTTTCCCCGCCATCAATTCTAGGCAAACATCTTGCAATCAGCTTCATCAGAAATGCAAGCAAGCTTACAACTTAGTCAAACTACCAAATTCGCACAAGCCTAAACTCCATTAACTCCACCAAACTCGTTAATATTAAAGTCTCCAATAACTGCATTTCAACTTTGACCGAATTGATTTTCAGCCCGACCATTGAGCGCCGGATTCCAATTGGTTCCTTTAATACACCAATCTGAATAGGTGTTTAAGCATCTCAATTAAACTTGGTTTACTCAATCAACTTTTGAAGCCGCTTTCAATGTCAATGGCTCGTTAGCGCGCAATTGGCTCATTAACTTCATGAACTTAATTTCGTGAAAAATAATGAAGTGCTCTTTTAATGTGGAGTTGACTGGCTGGGAAAATCACCAAATGGAGGCAAGTGAGTAAACAAGATATCAATTGTAAACATTCGTTTGCAACTACTTGAGTGAATTGAGGGCTGTGGATTTTTGCATGATTTAATAAATAGTACAACGTTACTGTTGCGTCTGCAGAAGGCATCATAAAAGGCGATGTTAAATTTTTCTTTGTAAAATCCTCTCAGAGCAAAACTAAAGGATAAGTTTAAGAACATAAAGGAAGAAGAAAAGAAGTAAAGAATCATGGCAATGACATCCTCTCATTGCAAAGCCTTGAAATAAATCATACGAAACAAACAAATACTGAGAAAGTATAACGCAAATTACAGTGAATTACACATACGTAAACCACAAATGAAAATTATAAAGAATGTGAGTSATACACTGCCAATAGGGTGTTTTCTTTGTATCAAAAATTCCTAYAAACTGAACATTAATCTATGGTAATATATATATGTGAAAGATTAAATAAGTTTATACTATYTATCTATTGCTATTTTGTTAAATATTTAATAAAYAAATTCAGCTAAAATTCAAATTATTCATGAATCTCTAAAACGCAATCCTATTGGTTGTGACGTCTCTGGACATATAAATGGCGGATTGTATACGTTCTGTGCATAGTGTTTAGTTGCGCGGTTGTGTTTCATTAATTCTTTTTTGGATTTAAATAATTTTTAGTTATAGTTTGGGTTAAACTAAAAAATGGCTCCAGAAGGATTCCCTCAAGCGTCAGCAAACAATTAACCATGTGTACATATTTTGATGGTTACCGAATTTTTAGAAAACGACGAACGCTTTAATTCAGCCGTATTTGAGGGTGTCAAAGCAGCAGCGTAAGTAAAAATCCGTAAATTCATTATGTTACTCTCTCCTTAATATACTAATCTGTCTGTATTGGTTTAAATAATGCAAATGATATATAGAATTTCACTTATTCAACTTAACCTAACCTATACACAGGGCTCTTTTAAAAGTAAAATGAAGTCTTAAATTTGTATTTTGGGCATCACGAGAACAATGTGGTGATATCGGATATGTGGAATTGAAACACGAGGGTAGGGGAGGTAGAATTTGCCCAGAACACAAAGTAAGATCGAAGGCATATTCTATCTGCCTCATCATTAGCGTTTTGTTCGTACTTTCATTAAAATGTTACTCGCAACAAAAAACATTGATTTTGATTTAGGAACATCACGTCTAGCTGCTTTGAACCATAAAACTTTACATGCATAATCATGGGGAACGGTTAGAAATAATTTGTTGGAGCACTTATTGAGTTATTCTTGGATACTGGCACAAAACAACACTTAGTTTGTGATCCATACATGTCACTATTTTTCGTTATGCAATATAATAATAATAATGAATAAAATAATGATAATTACAATAGCTTAAATAATAAAACAAAGTTGCGAAAACAACAAAATAAACACGAGGCGCTCGATACTATGACTGATGATAGGACCTGCTACGTCATAATCGGGATAGTTTTTGACGGAAAATATCTGATTTGAATTTGAATTCGCTTGGAAATTATTATGGAGACTTTTTTTGCAAGAAAAATTATATCAGTGTAATGTATGCCATAACTACTTTCAATATATCAACAAAAAAGTGAAAACACCCTATTCAACTCAGAACAAAGCAATTATGGAGGGCACAAGATATAATCCGCCTCATGGACGAAAGAAGAAAACGTAATAATAATATGTAACCAAGAAAGATGTAAGCTTGGAAAACTCTTACTGATCTACAGCGGAAAAGCCAAGCATGAAAGAGCACAATCGGGAATTGACATTCTACTGGAGGATATATATGCACCAATCATCGAAAATATAGAATATATCAGCGATTGATTAATAAGAACCCCAGAATCATACAGCGCTCGAAAACTGTACGAGAACAGATTAATGCAAAAAATTAGTAAGACTGACCTCACGAACCAAAATATGTAAACATGCTGGAATGAAACAAACAACTGCATACATCAGGTAGCTGCAGAATCAATTGGCAATAGGAAAATCAATATAAGTCCAAAAATTCTAACAAACCATGGTTCTGTCAAGAAGTGAATGACTTCGCAGATGGAAAACGGAAAAGCTTTTTAACGTACAAGATCACCCTAACCCAGTAAAATACGTACTATATGCTATACATATTCATAGGTAAAACGAAGACCATGACAGCCAATGAGCAAGCTGTTAATAGATAATACATCCATAGAGCAGGTGATGCGATTTAGAAATGTCCAGCACTCACTACCCGCAAAAGGACCTGAGAAACCAAATAAACAAACCAGCCATTATATGAGAATGTTTAATGGAAACTGTACGGGCTAATCGTTAATGCGAAATTGATTAGAAGCGAGAGAAGATACCAACAAGACCAAGTGAATGCTTCGAGTCGCGCAAGTATCAGTACCGAGATCAATAGCGGGGAAAACAAGAAGAAACCGCGAAAAAAACACTGATATTAGATCCCAATGTGAGGTACAGGATGTGGTGATATGGGGAAGGAAAATGATAAGGGAATGGCATAACCACGAGAGGTGATTGACTGACGATAAACTTCCACGTCTTGTACTAGAGTGAAAACCGGTTAAGGACGCGTCCACCTGGAAGGCCACCAAAGATATGGAGAGATCGGTGGCAGTCCACATCTTAGGAAATAGTACACAGGCAAGTCCGGAATAAACAGATCATCTAAATCTCTAAAAGTAGAAGAATAAGAAGAATAATATAAAATACTAAACATTTAAATTATCAGCGGACATAGAAATACAACGCATCTTGGACATGGTTGCATTCTATCGCCTCTCCTTGTCAATATATGCAGCGAAGCAATCTTTCAGAACTGATAAACATGAGAAGAATAGGCAAAACTCTGGATATTGAAGACGAACATATAGACCTTGGTCATGTCTCTAAAATGTGAACGAAAAACCAAACAGCAGAGATTAAGCGGATAATGAGACTAATATGGATTGCATTTGGAAAATTGAGTCATATAGTTAATAGCCCTGTTAGTCAATGCAAAGGGCCATGGAGAGGACAACGCTGGGCGTTAGCTAATTAGATAAAATCCGTAACGAAGAAATAAGGAGACGAACATGTTGCCAGATTGAGTGTGGGCAGATGGGTATTAAGGCTTGTACACTAGATACTACGTCAAAGAATGAGGAGTGTCGGCAGGCCACAGAGGAAATGGTTAGATGATGTTAAAAGAAATGCAGGAGGAAGATGGTACCATACAGCAAAAGTCAAAGCAGCATGGAAACAAACGAACGATTTCTTTGTTCAGCAGTGGACAGATAGTGGCTGACAAAGAAGATGAAGCAGAAGAGTATAGTATAAGGATCCATTACAGGAAGCATCATCAACAGGAGACTAAAAGAAAGAGGGTGAGTGGTCAACATATTAAGAACGTTAGATCTGCCGACGATACAACAATAATGCCATGCATTGTGGATGACCTACAAGGTCTCATGCAAAGAACAGACAGTTATTGTACACAATTTGTGTTAGAACGAATTCAAAGAAAATAAAATTCAGGGTGATCATGAAGGGAATGAACATTAATGGTACACCAATAGAAAGAGTGGACAAAATAATAAATGGAACTACTGAAAAATTGCAGGAATTACATTCTAGAATTGAAAGAAACAGAAGCTCTTATATGAGGATTAAGAAATTGTTAAGTAACAGTGTATTAAACACATTTTCTTCTTATTTTTAAGTACATAATGTTCTCTGAAGAACTATTTTCTTTATTGTGTCTTGATGCTTAGTTCAAAATTTTTGCGGTCATCGATCAGTTAATTAATTTTAGACATTTATAGCTACAAAATAGCTGTTCTTTTTACTTCAAGTTTAATACATTATGCAAAGTGATAGTGCTCTGAGTGAAAATGTCACTTACTGTAACGTAGTGAAGTATTTGCGTTGTAAATGGATTTTTATTTATAATTTTCAATGTTTTTATTTGTATTCTTCGGACTAACATCAGCCATTCATGACAAAATTGAAATGTTTTATAAATACGTAAGAACAGCTATTTAAGGTGTGACATGCAACTACGTAATCAGAATATAGGCGACTTCAAGGCCACAATTGGTAAGAACCAAGAGAAGTCAGAGAACCTCGTTCGACACTGTGGTTTTGGCAATCGAAACGCAAGAGGAAAACCACTCTTGAACTTCATGGGCGAACATAACTTAAGTATGATGAATTCATTCTTAAAAAAACCCATATCTCGAAAATGGAGCTGGATCAGTCTTAATAAACCAATAAAGAAAATTTATTATATTCTTTGCTCCAAAGCGTAAATAATACGGGATGTTACGGTGCTGAACTCATTAGACGTAGGAAGCGCCCACCGATTGATTCGAGCAAAAGTGGTTATCGACAAGAAGCAACAAAAAAAAACATTCATCAACATAAAAACACTCGAATATCGTGCAACCAATTTCAAGAAAATGGACATAAATTTTAAAGAGCGGTAGAGAGAAGACGGGTTCCCCCAAGTGAATCATTTACTCGATATTAACAGTTTGAACAGCAAAATACAAAGAACCCTAAATGACAGCATTCAGGAAGTAAATAAGAACAGACCAATTCCAAAGGAAAAAATTGTTAATGATGATGAGCATGATTATCAGGAGACTGCTGAAAAAACGAAGACAACTGAATGAGGAAAAGAAAAAGGGCACAATAGAGTATGTGGAACTAAAGAAACTAATTAAAAAACAACAAAGGGATAATGAAACAGAGGAGTACCGACTCATAAACTGAACCATAGATAAAAACAATGGCATGAAATGCCTAAGACCAAAGCTGGGGAAAACATTTTTTTCCTTAACTGACAATAAAGATGTTGAAAAAAAAACGAATTGGAGTGGAGTCTTGAAAATCGTTGAGGAATATTATTCACACCCATACGCATCCAAACTACAGGATCAAAGCGATGATCAACCGAAGAAGGGTAAGGAACGTCTGATCTGAAGAGTGTCCGCGAGTAACTGAGGCAGAAGTGGTTAAAGTTCTGAAGAACATTGAGGACAAATAGGCGCCAGGAGAGGATGCTATTACAACCCACATGATGATCGAAGGAGGCGGCAGTCTAATCAAACTGATCCAACAAAGTAAAATCCGGACTACCTTGATGAAGGCTGAAGTTATACTTCTTCATAAAAAAGTAGATAGGACTGAACTGAAAATCTACCATCTCATAACTCTACTATCGCACCTGATTAATTTTCTAACATGTATAATTACTACACGTTCAACGCAAAAATTGGACAAGTTTCAGTCAACGGAACAGGCAGGTTTTGGAAAGTGTTATTCAACAAATTCTGCGGATCCCTTGCTTATCATGTCACTCTTCCTTGGGAAGTGCATTGAATACCACTTCCTTCTGAATCTGGCCTTTATAGACCAGTTCGACGCGGTTGAACATTTGGCAGTTCAGAGAGTACTGCAAAACTTCAGAATCGATAGAAGATACTCACATCTAATACAAGAGACTACCAGGGAAGCAACAGCAACATACTCAAATACGCAAGCCAATCAGGTCCACTGAAGGGAGGAGTTAGACTGGATAATTCTCTATCATCCAAACTGTTCCCATTGGCTATCGAGGACGTGATGAGAAAACTGGATTGGTCGGAATGCGGCACTAATGTGAATAGCCAATACTTGAGCCACCTACGTTATGCAGATGACATAATCATAATGGCAGAAGATCCGACAGAACTGGAGAACATAAGTGAACATGTTGAATTAAATTCCTCCATGGCATAATGCATCTATCGGGGTCAAAAAATTGTGTTTGGGAGAGAAAATCAAACAGGGGAGACACAAAGAAGGATCTAGTCCGGGACGGAATTTGGCAAAACTGATTTATATACTCAAAGTAATAAAAATAACCTTAAAGAACAAAAGAAAAGTATATGAAATGTACATTCTGTCGATAATGTGCTACGGAGCGGAGAATTGGACAATTACATCAAATAATCTGAATAAGCTCAGAGTAACGCGACTTTTGAGTGCTCTCAGATGTGGGTTAAAGCTTGACTTGGGATGTTAAGGCCGCATTTTGTATGGATTTCGGGTTATTGGATACACCGGTAATGAGACGAGTGCAACCAGTCAAAAGAATAAGATGGCCACATGACATTAATCCGGCTCATCGTAACTGAAAAAATCTTGGAAACTTCCCGAAATTTTCCATTAAAGTGAGTTTTTCCTCACTTAAAGCAGCGGATTTTCGCTTTGGAGTTATATTATGGGGCGGATTGAGGGATTTTTGGTTTTTCCTTGGCGAATTGTTTAAAAATCGGTGTTGCCCTCTCTCCTATAGGAGAAGGAAAATAAGAAGTACAAGAAGATTTTGAGGCACACCTTTTTGAATGTACTAAATTATTGCTATAAACTGCGCTTAAACTTTGACTAAATTTCATTCAGCGGGCACCAAAACGTCCGAAATCATCTACTTTTAAACGCCTGATTTAAAGCCAATTTCTTCGTAGATTTTAAAAAAGTTATTGATTATTGCTCGGGTTGTGAAAACTTTCTCTGCTTAGAAAATCTCAAAGCCACTTTTACTTATTACGAGCTAATAGCCGCGGCTCTGTAAGGTATAAAATATTTTTTTAAATCCACTCAAGCTAAATGGCAACTGCATCAAATACGCTTCAGTTTTTTGCGATTAATGGTGCCAGACGTTTGGCGCCGGTTTTTGCTTATTAATGAGTATTAGCAGTTTATATCTTTTCACGTTCGGCTTTTACCAAGCCCCAGTTACACATGGGACGAAGGAAAATTCTGCAGTTTGTAAATATTTTAATGCTAATTAGATGAATATTCTACTTCAAACAGTTCAGTTTAAATTTTCTGTTGTTACTCAGCATGATTGAAGCGAAATGAGTAAAATCAACAGTTGGTTCTAAACTGGTTGACAAACACGAAGGACAGCAATTCCGCAAATTAAGGTAAATAATTCCAATATGTACATTTAATAAATCGACAACTGTATCAATCAGCATCGGACAAAATAAATTAAAATCTCATATATCAGTTTTTTCGAGCGTAAGCGATTTGCAATCAAACCCGAATTATAATTGCGCTTGTGGTGAAAACACAATTTGTTGCAAACACACACGAACAAACTTTACGGTAAAAATTGAATTTGTGCAGAAACACGTACGCTTTGACGAGAATTTTGTGACCGATTAGTATTCTTTGAGGCTAAACAGGTTGGTTGAGTAATTTGCCAATTTAATTGAGGCCAACTGCATTTGGAACCGATAGGGCTGCATATTAAATTAGTTTTCTACACGAATTCAGAACTATCTAGATGTAGCCACAAAAAAGGTCCTTAATCCCCGTCATCTAGACCCTCCAGATCCAGACATTAATCCAGAAAGGTTGAATCGAAAAAGTCTTAAAATGTATAGAATCGGCTTGGCCGGCACTGGCACAGACATGTCATGGCAAAAGCGAGCAATCAAAATAATCTCGTCATTATTCCATAGCGAACATCAAAACATACGGCAAAGCGGAACGAAGTTCTGTTCCAAAAGTTCATAATATGACAGTGGGAATAATTGGCACGTCACAAGGGTGAGTTGTTTTCCAGTCGTATGTAGCCGTTTCGGCCGACAGAATTACAAATATGACACCGTTTAAATTAATTCATGCCGTTTCTATTGTCTGAATTAGAATAGTTGCGAGCAGAAACTTCTTACATTGAAACATCAACCTATTGTTGAACGCTCACAGGCAGTCTAATCTTGGAAACTTATCTTAAAGACACCAGGAGTCTGGTTGGGCGCGTTTAAGTCCTTCAATTTTTTTTTTGACTGAAAAACTCTTTGATGCTTTTTGGAGTTCTCTAGCTCTTTGCCTGTTTCATCATTTTTTAATTGGTTTGCAAATATATTTATTTCCCATCAATTCTTGTAAGGGAAACGTTTATAAAAGTTAACTTAAATAGCACCTTTCTCATGTCTATGCATCTTAGCAAAGAAAGGATTTTATAATTTTAAATTTGCATTGAATTTGAGTGAGAAATTCAGCGTGTGCGGTCGAACTGGGCGTAATGCGGCCTGAAGGCACACCCCTGAATGTTTTCGTCCCGTTTAGATTATAATTTCTAATATTTATTTTGGTTTTTTTGTAGTTTATTTAATTTGTTCCTGTAAGCCACTTCCCATGCAGTTTCACCAAAATTAGAAATGCTGTGGAAGAGTGCAAAGTGAATCAATTTCAATGTACAAGGTTATTGATTGAACATTGGCCACCCCGTTTAATCATCTAATTTAAAATTTAGAGAAAAATGTTAAATACAAAAGTTGTAGTTATTAACGTCTAGTTTATTTTAAGATAATGGCAATTAATACAGGGTGTCTCAAATTCAAGTGGCAGACCAAACATACGTTTTTTTAAATAAAATGCCGTACTTTTCATTGCACATTTGAACTATTCGCACAATTCTAGGCCTACTCGATATAAATATTCTATAGTGATTTTGGATTTCTAACCAATATTAGTTGAACTTTGGCCACCCCGTTATTGCATCTAATTTGAAATTTAGAAAAAGTTATTAAATACAAAAGTTGTACATATTAACGTCTAGTTTATTTTAAGATAATACCAGTTGCTACAGGGTGTCTCAAATTCAAGTGCCTGACCAAACTCAAATTTTTATAAATGGAAAGCCCGAATATCAAAATGGTTATTAACTCAAAAACAGTTGAAGATCAATATAGAAAATTTGTATCCAAGAGGACTGGAATTTTGCGTATAGTTCTAATATGAAATATATATATATATATATACAGGGTTGCTCATTAGTGCGCGTCAAAGTGCGATATCTCAGTAAATATGAAGTCTACAAGAAAATTCGTCCAACGAAAGTTTTTGACGTTTAAAAGGTCCACATTCTAAAATTACTTTCCAATATACAGGGTGCATCCTAAACGTGTGGTAGTTACCTACTCTGGTTTTTTAAATGAAACCCCCCCTTTTTTTTGTTATTTTCAGATTGGCCGTTCAATTTTAATTTATGTTTGTTTCAACCGTTTTACCTGA